TACATATCGAACTTCTGTACATGTTTTTGTCTACTGCCCTTCTGCGTGCAAATAATGAGGTCATACTCATGTCACAATACTTTGAAGCTGATGCCATGTTGATGCCATGAGACTGCGAAGCTGAGGCCACGATGATGCCACAAAATAGCGAGGCGAACACAGCTTCAATTTTCAATGACGCGAAGCTGATGCCACAATGATGCGATGCTGAGGCGACAATGAAGCTATGCGTAGGCGACAATGATGCCACAAAAGCCAAAGCTTCCGCGAGAACTGTACTGTTTGCATAAGCGGTTCAACAAAGTATTCCTTCTATGTGCTTTTTTTGTTGGCAGAATAGATACTTGGAATCAGTAAATTTATCCCACCTGCTTCTCTATATTGTCCAAAGACAAGATCACCACCATCCAATGCTGCTGCACTACCAACATGTGTACCTTCCTCTCCGAAGTTAGTCATATAGAATGAAATACGACCCTGTATTGATATCAAAAATATATAACAGAGATAATAAATACTTCTTATGTGTGAATAATATAGTTAAAACAGAGATCATATCAAAATGAGTTCTTACCTCTATTTAGTATATATAGTGTTGTTTTATTAGGAAAGAAAAATGATATATCTTGATGCTCAAGGAGCAAATAGTATATTTCTGGACCAATCGTCAAGAATTGATATCACATGATGCAAACATTGATTCTGGAAGTGCACATTACCTGTCTCTGTGATTCATAGAGTATTTTATCCATTGTATTCATTGTAGTCATAGCTTTGTACATTCTCACAACATAATCTTCATCTAAGTTTGGATCCTGATCAGCTTCTAGAATCTCTCCCTTTCTACTCAATACTCTATAGGTGGGTATGCCATCATACTGGTTAGGTTTGATAAATTCTAATTTCTTCATATATCCGGCAGACTTAGCTCCTGGAAACTGGGGTTTTTCTTCTTCTTCATATAGCTGTCTATGCCAACTCTAGTGGAAGAACAATACAATTATGCGATTTATAAACTTATCCAGAATACAGCATGTATCACGTTGACACTGCAAATCAGTAAGGTGGCTGCTTTTTTGTAATGGTGCATTTTACAAATTCAACATCATGAACACCATTATAACTTTCACAATCCATCTTCTTTTGCAGTTAGTGGCCATCTGTCCAAGAGTACCGGTAGTTAGACTTAGTAAGCATACAATTTACATATCTTATTATTACTGGTTATTTTATTTATTCAACAGCTAATATTCATTTCAATGAATTGTGCATGTTTATAACATGTTTTAAATAAGAACCAACGAATTTGCTCCACAATTAATAATTTGGAAAGTTATCATGGACTTCCTCCACAGGAAAGATAAAAGCAGGCTATGTGCTATTTAATTAAGATGTTAGCAATGATATCCATAAACAAGCAGCCTATCGGCTGAGATAGCTCTGCTTTTAGCAATGCACATTTCAATTAAAGAACTGAAGGTATCATTAGAAAATGAACAAATCTGAGAGAGGTCTACCTGTAGTAGAGGGATATCCCTCTTCTTACCGACGCCATAAAATACCATGTGAAAAATGGACACCTATTTTCCCAGCATACATTTCACACTAACTAGCCAAGACTTTTTGTGTAATTTCAACCAATTTCAATTGTCAAGTACTGCCTTTTAAGTAATCAAATTGACATTAAACTTGGTTTTCCATTTAGAATAGAATATTGTCTTCTCATTTCATGAAATTCAGACACATAAATTAAATTGTACGATTAGAGGAGGGTTACAAATATAAAAATTAAGATAAACATGACAGCTGTGAATTTTGTTAATAAATCATGAAACCAGAGATAAAAGTGAACTTGCCTAAAAGAGTAAGTCATGGTTTATCAAGTAACTATGCTACTTGAGAATTTGAATTTGGGGGGTCCATTAAAATGTTACCCCCCAAAATATGGTTTTGTATGGCTTGGGGTGTTTCCAGTCTAAAATCAATTATATGGTACATGTATTTTATGCGTTCAGAATGTGCAGAACGTAGGGCATTTATCTTATGGCATTATATGGCTACAGTAATAATTAAAGATATGGTACTTTATGGTTTCAGAAGGAATAAGTACTCAGCCAGATAATATGGGTTTTTATGGCTTGGGAAAGGAAATCGTTGGTCCATAAAATACCATGTTATGGTAAAATATGGTTTGGGGAATACACGTTTATTTTATCATAACCTCAGGACCACAAAATATGGTACTTTATGGTTTCAGAAGGAATAAGTATTCTGCCAGACAATATGGGTTTTTATGGCTTGGGAAAGGAAATCATTGGACCATAAAATACCATGTTATGGTAAAATATGGCTTCAGGTTTTTATTTGAGAAAATATAATTACCTAAATGCGACGATCAAATTCTGTTAAACTCTGAATAATTTTGAAACTCAAAATGATGTCAACAGATTTACATGTACTGCCCGTGTAGTAACCTTTGTGTGATTTTTTAGTGATGACTAGAAAAATACCTTTTGTGTACTTCATAAAAGTAGTATAATACATAAAGGACATCATAATAGATATAATGCATACAAGAAGTTGTAAGAATAATCCATAATCTAAAGTTCGAGAGATGTAAAACCAAAAGAGACAATGTGCAAAAATGGCTATGGTATTTTAAGGTATCAGGCAAAAATGCCCTCTACCGGTATTTTCACAAGGTTTTTTATGGTGTCGGTAGGATAACACAAAATATATATTGACTAAAAGAGGGATATGTATAGTATCAAAGCAATCAGACTTGCGGTTTTTAACAAGTTGAAAATATCACTTTTTACCAAAAATCACATAAATATTCATCAAAATTAGAGAATTAAAGATATCATCACGGAATGAACAAATCTGAGAGAGGACTAGATATCATCACGGAATGAACAAATCTCAAAGAGGTCTGCCCAACAAGGTACAACAAAGTATCATCTGCAAAACAATAAGAATTGTAGTTTTCAAGAAGTCCTCGAATGAGTAAAAAGTTGACATGGACGACAGACAATCACTCATGTGATGGGCTCCGCTCAACAAAGTCGACAGCAGAGCTAAAAATTAACACACACACACATCCACACATCAGTATGATATTGTGCTCTGCACACAGCAGCTAAAAAATGATTTGCTTTGTTAAACCTTATCCACAAACATATATCGTTTATAATACTTATTTTTCATAGTAAGGCTGTGACTAAATGGAAGCAGCTACTAGTATATTCCATTAATTTAAAGTGTTTATTCCTTTTTGTTATTAAATTAACACAATAATCTTTCTTCACATAATTGTTATTCATTTGCACAAATAAAACTTGGTTTAGATTCTATATAGAATAATATATGTACCCAAATATGCTTACTTTACAGATGTAAATTCAGTAACACACATGCTTTCACATGTTTTCACACCTCAAAATTTGTTTTCCATTTGCGTGATTCAATTCACTTGTTTTCCACTTGGATCTGGGAGTGGCTGCGTATTCACCTCCACTGATAGTTGGTGACCATTCTAATCAGCCATCCCAGATATTATAAGAAAATGCATAGCAACTAAAATAGATGTTAAACATGATATAGCAATTGTTGTGTCCTAGAAAATCTACCCCTTTTGTTTTAATACCCTCTCCCTTTTGTCCCCTGCCCATAGGCATAAGAAAATTATCAGTTTTTGTGTTATGAAATGACACAGCTCGTATTGCTCATCAACAGCATACAAAACTGAAATCCATTTTAAATCAGAACTGCCATTGACGCTGCAGGTCGGCGTCCTCTATACGTCTGACGCTTAACGCGAAAGGAGTGCCAGGAGTTTGTTTGAAACTTCAAAACGTTTCACAGTCTATTGTTTGTTGGGCACATATTTAACGAATTTAATAAATCATTTCAGGATTTTTTTTCAAAATAATGAAAAATGAAACTTATAAACATTGTAGAAATAAACAGGTCCTAAATCAGTTTATGCTGCTAGTTCCTTGTTCGGAGTACATTCTATGCATGATTTTATTGCATTCAAGCATGAAATCTTAAGTTGCATGGAAAACTTAAATTTTGTTTTAATTTTTTGTGTGTCAAAGATTGAATTATATAATATATGTCACCAGCGGTACATTACTTGGGGTTTGCAACGCGCATAGTACTGTATGGTGACATCATGCCAATTAAGATCCCATTCAAGTCTCATCTCATAGATAGCGAGACTGATGCTACGATCTTCTGACATGACATAGACATTCATAGTGAAAAAATGTAATACCTCGAAAATGTATAGAAAATATAGTTATCGTAATCCATGTCATGAGCAGCTATTTTGATCTACCTGGACATCCCAGTATCCTAGTTACCTCGGGCATGTGCATTCGCATTTTTTTTGAGTTAGAACGCTTATGCGAGAGCGAGATTGTAAGGGGATCTTGGTATCATGTCACCGTAGTTGCAAACCCCAAGTAATGTACCTCTGATGTCACTAATATTTCATATGTTAAACAATATTTCACTAAAGGATGTTAATTATTTTAAAAAAAAATTAAATTAATTATAAAATGAAGTATTAAGTTCCATGTATAAAAACTAGTGTCAAGCGAGAGCAGAACATTCTATGTTGCTTTGATGCAAACCACTGTACAATGTACATATATTTCTATAAGCTATGCAAGAGTAGCCATGGAACACTGGTCGAAGGGCAAGTGTGAAAACAGCTAAACTTAACTTTAGGTAATGCTAGCAACCAAATTTCTATATATATTGCACATTTTGGGCTAGCTCAAAATACTGTTAGCTAAGTTTTTCATGTTTTGTTTACACGGGTGATGGTTGCTAGGCAGTGAAAATTCCCAGACCTCAAATTCCCGGGTGTCCGCCCCAAGAATAAAGTCATCACACCAGAAAATATAAACAAACTTAAAATATCTCTATTACAGCTGAGTGCTGTATCGGACAATAAGCTGAATACTTACTACTAGCTAAATAATTAATAATACGAGTAAGAAGCAATGATACTTTTTAACGTGACAATGCTACTACGGACACCCGTAAATTTCCAAGAAAATAGGTGACCCCCCAACCTACGTACATGTGTTACGGAGTTCACAAGAACGATTATGATTGGCCCTCGGACCAATATGGTGGAGGCTCGGCAGTGTTGTTCTTCTTGCATGGCCTACGTCGTTTAGATTAAATAATTCTTTGTACTTTGACAGTTGTATTGCTGCTCGACCTGTGCCAACAAAATATAGTCTGTTTTGAAACGCAACAACTACACAATCTAGCCAAGTATTAATTTAATTTTGTAGAACGCTTACACTTGTGGTTCCTAAGTGGGTTATTATTTCCATGCACATGCATTCTCTGAAATAGTTTTAAAACTCACATGAATAACAAAGCAAGAGTTTGTTTTACGGTGAATGAAGCTAAAATCCTTACCGTGACTGAAAATGTACGAGTTGACTGTATTATTGGTTTTGACGAATAGTAGCTTGGTTTCAACGATCTGGCGAACCTACAGAAATGCCTTATGGACGCCATGATGTACTATGTCGACATACGAGGAAGAATAAATAGCGCCACCAATATACAGCGTCATATAACCTTTGTTTTTATGTTTCCGCCACTTGTTTATAATTTTTTTAAAAATGGGACACATATTTGTAGCTGCTGGAATATCGAATTGAAGGGCAACTTATTTTTTCATATTTCCATTGTAAATATAATTGAGTAATACAGTCAACCCCATGAAGACCTGAATGTTTTTTTCTTCTATAAAATGTTTATGTGTTTCATGCATTGCAGTGAAATGGCCGATGAATGAGGGAAACCCGCAGACTCATGATAATGGGTATTACCGAAAGGCTTCCATGGCCAACGATAGACTATTCCATGGACTGAAATAAAAAGCATGAGCGTCTTTCGTGGTAGATGTTTTATATACCGGTACATATTATACATCATCATGAAAAAACATCTATGCTTCCATGAATTCAGAGTAATATATAAGGCTCAATTATTAGCAGGATTTGTTTTAATTTTCGCTTATTTTACTAATAGCTAAAACCCAGTGAATATGCACATTTAAACACAGAATATACGTTTCATTTACAAACCAGTGGATATTCATTGAATTGTTATACAACTGGACCAGGAAGAGAAAGTAAGCCGCATAACGTGTGACGTTAGCAGTCAAGAGATTTGTATGGTGGCACACGACACAGTGTTGCATGTGGCTGGGCCAATCAGGAACAGTGGAAGTGTTGAGACTCAACATCGTATTTTAAGTAAAATTTATTGGTCAAGACCAAACAAGTATTTTTAAATATTGTTCGATCAGGTCAGCAATTTGAGACACGTAACAGGTATAAAGAACTGTTTTATGACACTAGAAAGACACACAAGTCTCTAGTTTAATTATATCAAAATCATTTTGGTATTTTAAACTGATGACCAACATTGACAAGAGAGGTTATGAATTTATTGAAAGAACAATACTGGGACCACAGGTCTAAGGAGTGGTCCATGCTATAAAAACAAATACTACAGAACAGTGAATTGAACACGCACAAAAAAAACAAATAGCAATGTATATATCAATGTACTAGTATTAGTAATCTGAAAATGTGATATCTTGCCCTCAATTATTATTGAGAAGAAGTCTATTTTACAAGGACCTAATTTACGAATGTAGGTACTAGCCAAAGCAATCTGTGAAAATTGTGGTAAAGTTCATTAGATGGTCTAGCTTATAAAAACATGATAGCAGTAAACAATCTTTTTAAAATGTATTGCTTCTGTTATACAGTGAAGGGCATAAAGCTGTGGTCGTTATAACTTCATTCACTTTGGCCTATCGCCCCTCCTGGAACATAGGCCATCGATGACAGTTCTACAGCGTGTGCGGTCCTGTGCTGCAGTCGCAAGCTGTCCCCAGGTGGATCTTGAGCGCCTAACATCATCGTTGAGGTCCCTCCGCCAGGTGTTTTTAGGCCTTCCACGTTTCCGCTTTCCCTATGGATTCCATGTCAAGGCTTGTCTGGGGATGTTGGATGGTTGCTTACGCAAAGTGTGACCAATCCAACCCCATCTCGTCCGCAGAATTTCTTCCTCCATGGAAAGCTGCCTGGTTTGCTTCAGGAGCTCAAGGTTGCTGATCTTATCTGGCCAATGAATTTTTAGGATTGTCCACAGGCATCTGTTTACAAAGGTCTGTACTTTGTACAAACCTTATTTAAATAAACATTGTTATAAATCAAATTGAATGTTAGAATTAAAATTGACCAATCCAGAAATTGTATTGTGATATTATCATTAGTTCCAATTAATATTACAGAGGTAGTTCAACATTACCTAACCAGCAAGGTATGCATGCATTATGGGTGTAGGCAATGTTTATCTCTTTAGCCACTATTAAATATTTGAATTTGAATGAAAGCCGATGATCTGCATTCACATTTTTTTAAAAATACAATTATAAACAAAGCCCAGAGAGTACAATCATTTTAATATGATATAGTAACACATCAGCTGTGTTAATGATCATAAACAATAATTATAAATGTCTCCCTGTCCCATATTTATTCAAAGTACATGTATCAAAACTGCAAAATCTTTTATCTAGGCGTCATTTTCAAACATTTCAATGTTCCTGAAGCTCAAATTTAATTCTAATTTAGGTTTTTCCTTATTCAAGAGTCTGGGTACGGTTTATTGCAGCTGGCGTGATGGGGTAAATTTTGTTATCACAGTAAAAAATAAAATATTCTTCAATGCTCAGTTTAACTTTTGAAAACTAATTTTATGATTTAAAAAAAGTCAGAAAACAGTTTCAGGTCATCTCGTATATGGAAAATTTCAGAAACATGGCGCATCGGGCGTTCACATGCCAGCAAAATCATTCGCTTACGATGAAACTAAGTTAAATTTTACTTGAATTTC